GACATCTTTCCACGGATGAAACAAGATTCCTACTGATGTTCGTTCATGTTGATTTCGTGCTGTAACTAGTAAAGAGGAAGAGATGATCGGTTCACCTGAGCTACAGCGATCTGTCATGAACACACATTAAAGAGCTACGGAATGGTATTTATTGTTTGAATTTCCTAAACAAATGACAAAATTAGAAAGCTGAGACTATGTTTCATGGCAAAAGTAACCTGCTCTGTCTTGTCTGTCGGCGTATTGTCAGTTTCCTCGTTGCTCTGTATTTTTCACTGCGTGAGAACATGATGTGTGGTGTGAGAGCGCCATGGCTTGTCGGACGTAGCAACAGTAACTAGGGGGGCGAGTCTTTGCGAAGTGTCAATTAAGACTTCTAACTGGATCATCCTAACTAGTCAAATCTTTGTTGTGGTGTTCAGTGTTCATTTACTGTTTTATTAGTCAAGTCAAGTCACCTTTATTTCTATATCGCTTCATACAATACTGGTTGACTCAAAGCAGCTTTACAGTGTCAAACAGGAAAACAGTGTGTCAATAATGCAAGAGGACAAAAACAAACATTCAGTTTATCAGCTAAAGTCAGTTCATTGATGATTCAGTGATCATCATCCAGTTCAGCTCTCTTCAATAGTGTCTGTGCAATCAGTCAAGTGTCCCCAACTAAGCAAGCCAAAGGAACCAAAACTCCATCGGTGACAGAAATGGAGAAAACACCTTGAGAGAAACCAGGCTCAGTCGGGGACCAGTTCTCCTCTGACCAGACAAACCAGCATGGTGTAGTTTAATTCCAGGCTGCAGCACAGGTCAGATTGTGCAGAGGACTCATCTGGTTCCCATGGTCTTGTGCCGATGGTTGTTGAGGTGACGAGGTGTTCGCAAGGGATCTGTCTCTGGAGCGCATCTAGTTGTCCTGGTCTCCGCTGTCTTTCAGGGCTGTAGAGGTCTTCTCTAGGTGCTGATCCACCATCTGATCTGGATACAGACTGGACCTGGTGACTACGGTGACCTTGGAATAAGAAAGAAACAGACTAATATTAGCGTAGATGCCATTCTTCTAATGATGTAGCAAGTACATCGGGTGTTATGGGAAGTGTTCCCGGTTCCGATTGTCCTAATTAATGCAGCCTAAAAATCCTTTAACGGATTTGAATATTAGAAGCGTATTAGTGTGGTATGTGTAAGCCAGGTTAAAGAGATGGGTCTTTAATCTAGATTTAAACTGACAGAGTGTGTCTGCCTCCCGAACAACGCTAGGTAGATTGTTCCAGAGTTTGGGAGCTAAATAGGAGAAGGATCTGCCGCCCGCAGTTGATTTTGATATTCTAGGTATTATCAAATGGCCAAAGTTTTGAGAACGCAGCGGACGTGAAGGAATATAATGCAATATGAGCTCAAACTCAGTCTTTGGAGACTGTCCTAAGCATCTTTTAGTGAGACGCTGAGACTGAGGAACCCGATCTGACTCTGAACATCGGGGTTCTCCAGATCTGGAAGTGTTGTCTGAAGCTCTGACCTGTCATAACCTCGAGTCGAGGACGGATGTCACACATGTCGACTGCGGTGTGAAGAGCCGGCGCTCGGTGGAGCTGATGAACTGCCGGAGAGGAGGACGAGGGACATGTCACTTATGCGCTGGATCAAACCGGCTTCTTTCCTCTTAGAGCTAATGGAACTGTCATCTTTCCTCCGGCCGATAACGATCTGCTTTATATCCCCCACAAACCGGCCGTCTCTCTCTCTGCTCTGGTCATGCAGGGAAAGCAGATGTTTGGGGAGGTTTGGGTCTGATATCTGCCCTGTTCTCGGTCAAGGTTATTATACAGCCACTTCATTATTACTGCTGTTTGATAAGGACAGCATCACTATTCCCATCGATTCCATGGCCGGGATTTAGTGATTTGACAACCTCTACTTCAGCAAGTTTAATCCTGGCACCCTAGCAACCACCCAGAACACCCTAGCAACCACAAAGTCATAGTCAAATCCACTCAGATCACATTATTATTATACATATGAACGTCCTGGCAATCTTTCCACAACTCTCATACACCCACTTATGTTTTCTTAAGAAAATGTCTACCAGATATCAGTGGCCATGAGCTAAGCATTAGTAAAGATTACTCCTTGAGCGTGCTCAAATAACACCATGATGTTTGCAACACATTGCCAAACACATGCAACATGGAGAAAGATCCATGAGCTCATTATTATATTATTATTATTATTATTATTATTAACAACAGATACTAGTTTAGCTTTAAATTTTGATATAGTTTGATTTAATAAAATGTCATACAACTGTGTAATATTTGCCAATATAGGCCTACAGTTATGTACAAGTCTCAATATGTTCAATGCAAATGTGAAAAGTACGATTGTTTGTCACATGAATTATTGTTGCGTAAAATTATACACAACTTTTATTTTAAACTTCTATTTTAGTAAAACGTGTGTGCTTTACTTTTTAGTACACTGATAAAATTATTCTGTGGTGAAGTAAATACAACGGAAAACCAAATGTAATCTCTACATTAATTTAGTTCAGGCAAGAATTTACAGTAAAAAGAGTATATTCTATATTCAAGCTTGTAGAAATTAGTTTGAAATTATAAGTATATTTTACTTGGAATTGTTAGTGATGTTCACAAGGATTCTTTGAGTAAATATCAAAGTTATGCTACTGGTGTTCCCATCATGCACTGGGGCATGCATAATTAATAAGGTTGAGTTGTATGGTTGTTTTATGTTGCTAGGTTTAGTAACGTGCTGTTTCGTGACATCTGGAGTTCATTTTCTTCTCCAAATGACCCATTCATCCTCAAACACTTTCCACTGATTGTTACCGTCATCGTGTATCAGGTATTGAGGTCTCATGTGTGCATTTGGGTATTAACTCTATTGTGTAGACATATTATCTTAGAAAGTGTAACAAGATGTCTACTGCCTTGATTACTTGGATGTTTCTGCTTTGACAGCATGGCTTTTTCAGTGCTACATTGTTATAGTGAAGTTTACAAACAGTGATTGAGTAAATGATCTTGAGTATTGCAGAGTGAACTTCAAATGATTAAGTAGAAACTACTCCAACTCTAACTGGCCAAGTTAAATTTACTGTGTATTTTACATAACTTTGTAAAGTAGATTTGACTTAATTCTTTACTTAAATTTACTTTTAAAAAATGTGTGCAAAAACTTGCAAAAGAAAAGAATAAGTAAATTGTGCTTTGTTGTATTTTTTTTTTTCAATGTAATGCGCACACACGCACACATTAAACGTTTATAGTATAGTAAAATCAAGGTTATGTTGTAACTTTACACAACAATAATGTGTGATAATTGTACTTGATAATTGTAAAGCGAACCCTTGAATTGATTAACTTGCACTATAAACAGATTCCCTCCCATTTCTAAATAAAACAAAGATAATTGGAGTATAATTTATTTCTACTATTTCAGTTTTTCATACTTCAAGGTTTAATGTTTAAATCAGTACTGTGTGTTGCTTGCTGTTTGTTTGTAATTGTTTGTGAAATTTACTAGCAATTTTTCAGTAAAGAAGAAAAATAGTTTTTACATGATTGACTACATGATTGATTGATTGATTGATTGATTGATTCATTTCAGTGTAGTTCCTCCTTCAGCAACATCCCCAGTGAAACCCTATCTAACTGTATGGTTCAACCTACATTTAAAGTTATCTACAATCAAACTCTATGATAGCGACTCTGTCACGTCTTTTCTGGAAATCCATAAACCAGCAGACGGTATCATAGAGGAAGTGCAGCAGGTGTTTCTGTCAGGACACTTTCTAGAAGAAAACAGCATCTTCATTTCAGATCCAGCAGTTCATCTGATCCTCATTGAGTCTGTTCTTGAAGACGCTGAAGGACTGGATATTGTTGTTAAAAACTGGTCATGCTACATATGCTACATGGTCATATGTACAGTAAACATCTTACAGTTGGGAAGCTGGCGATTATTCACGCACTTCCCTACTTTAAATCATACAAAGAAACATTATGATTCGGCTAGTAGAAATAATTTGGCTGAAATCAAACTGGGAAGATTTATTTTGCTGTTGAACATGACATACTCTCTCTCTCTCTCTCTCTCTCTCACTCTCTCTCTCTCTCTCTCTCTC